TCAGGTCTGGAAAGTGAAATAAATACTATCAATTTTGCAGTAGTAATATTTTTGAACAAAGATTCTACATCTGTTGTGGTCAGTGATCAGTACAGCACAGGTGTTGATTTACATTCCCTGATGTCAGTGGGGTTGACAATGACCACTGTGGCAGACTGCTAAAGGCATTAATGACTGAAGCAAGATGTAGTTCAACGTGAGGAGTGAGACCCACAGTTCACATCCCTGGTGCCTATCATGCTGGCATCCCGTTCTCGTTCAGAACAAGAGCAGTGAAAGGCGAGGAGGGGAATCTGTCATTGTGCTTGCAAAGTCAATGAGCATGATTCGCTACATGTGGAAGTCAGTCTGTGGCTGGCCTTTCAGGTTCTCTTAAATCCCCGAAGCTGAGAAGTAGCTACTTTTCTTGGGAGAATCTTGTGAATTTTCTGTTATAACGTGAGATAGTAAACTGAGATAGTAAACTAGAATCAAGTTTTGCAGTAATTGGTGTACTACTTGAACCTGATAAACAAACACTAAAAATTACATAGAATATTAAGAAATTATGCAATTTAAGCCTCACATGTTTTCAGATTTATAGTTATAACAGTTTTCTGTGGTTGACATTTTTTACATGTTGAAAAGAAATATTAATCATTTTTTAAACCAATGTCACTACTGAGCCTTGGATGATTAAGTACTCTGTGTATTTCTTTCTTCCAAACTGGCTTATAAAAGAAAGCAAAAATGACAATAAAAGAAATGTACCAATTTATTCCCTACTAATAAAGTATTGAACATTAGGGGGAAAGTGTGAAATATTGGAATGCAACATAGAGCAATTCCATTTCCCATTGCAGTTTTGGGTCATATACTGTATATAAAGAGTAATTACTTCATTGGCCAGAGACCACAGTGAAGGAATATAGAATCTGATGAAAGAGATTTTGCAATAAAGATTTTACCCCAATGTATTTGCTTCCCCAAACTTTACCAACCTTAAGGCAAGCCCATCTTACTTTCTCTTCTGGTGGCTGATGGCGGGGAGAAGGGGGGGAAATGGGGGAAGGGTGAGATGGTGGTGGTGGTGGGGTTGGGGGGATGGGAGTGGCAATGGGCCTGAAGTACTAGTGAAACAAAGACAATTGTATAAGCTCAGTCAGTTTTAAAGAATCTTATTCAAAAATTATACATCAGTATTTGAACTATTCAAATTTACCAGTTCTAATAGTTTCAGTGACACATCCTGTTGCTAAGGATCCTACATCGTAGCGTGTTGTTTGCATTAATTCTGGTGGTTCCTCGTGCATCTTCACTTCCTACCCTTGAATGAAATGTCTGGATTTCATTTTCTTGCTGAAGAATTTAACTGCATTGTGAGCCTCAAGGCTAGGCTATGGATTGCCCAAGTGCAATCCCCTTCCCCCTCTTGCTTATCCTATGAAGCTTTGGAGAGGAACTGAAACCTTCCTAATAGGATAAGGAAGTCACAACACGCATTCTGCAGAAGAGACTGAACTTGGCCAGTTCAAGCCCTGTCAGTTCTCTGTGAGCCTTAGTTTCTCATTAGCAATGGAGGAAAATATACTATAGGATGGCTATGAGGGTGAATTAGGTATATTAGAAGAACTTTATAGTTCTCAGTGAACAGTACTTACATCTTTTTTTCAAAATTATTTAAAGCTTGTTGAAATACAAAATATAGAAAAGCCAAAGTAAAATCATGCCTTGTAATTAGTTTAACTTTCTTCAGTGTTGGGGGAGGTGGGGTTTCTGAGCATAAAATATTATTTTCATTGAAAGAAATTAGAAATTATGTATCATATTCATTTTCCACTTATTTGAAATAGATCACAATGATTTCATCATTAAAAACTAAATGTTTTCTGATTTCCAAATAGTCCTATACAATGGAAATATTTACAGGTGCTTATTGGGTGAGCATATGGGGAATCTCATCCCGTCACTTGCAATAATTTTTGCTATTTTTCCCTCAGCCCTTAAAAAATCTTTTTGGTAGTGCTGTAGCTCAAGGCCAAGGATTCACACATGCTTAGCACACATTAGTCCTGCTGTTGCCTAAGACCAGGGATTCACACACACTATAGTACTGGCTGGAGCCCAGCCTGATAGTTTTAAATTTTATGGTGACTTTTGATATAGTTTTTAATTTTATGAAATCACTGCCACCGTTTTTTTTCTCTGTGGGTTACTTTTTTTTAATGCTTGGTTTTAGAAAGTTCTTTCCTATCAATGAAAGTAAATGTCTATGTTGTCTTTTAATTGTTCATTTATAGCTTTTAAAAATTAGTTTAAAATGTCTTTAGAGCTATTTGATATACAGACTGATGTAGACTTGTATGTACTATCTAATAGAGTTGAGAGTTCATATAAGGTAGGATTTAGCATAATTTCCACTAAGTATTATAGCAACTAAATTGCTCATCCGCAAATATCTTCTATATGATGAAACCCTACTTCCCCCCAACATACATACTCCCACCCTTCCTCCCCTTTTTTTGAGACAGGATCTCATGTAGCTCAGGCTGGTCTTTAACTCTTGGTCATCTTATGTCCACTTCCTGAGTTCAGGAATTGTAGGCATGGACTCAGCATGTTGCCTTATTATACATCATTCTCCCAATATCTGTCTCATTTTAATTATCTTGTCTACAGAATGCTTTCTCATTATTTTCCCGTTTATAGAAATGTCTTGTTTATAGTTACACACATATTTATCTTCCAAGCAAATTTAGAAATACTTTATCAAATTCTTTCAAGTTCTGTCTACTGCAAATATAAGTTGTTGAAATTGCAATAAATCTGTACAATCAACCACCTAATATTCTACATAATAATATAGACATGTTTCTACATTTTCATAATTTTTTGAGGTTATAGCAAATCTCTTTATTGTTGTTGTGAAAGAATACAGGCCTGAGAAGGGACCTTTTTCTCAGCGGACTTTTCACTGTATGAACAGCACACTTGGACTTGCTTATTTTTCTTTCTTTGGTGTGGACATAGAACCCAGGGTTATGTGTATGTGAAGCACACAGTCTACCATGGACACATACCCCAGTCCTGCAGGGCTTTCTTTTTGTTTTTCTACATACAGAATAAAGACACTTTGCTCCAAAACATAAAAAAATTAAACGGTACTTAGGAGAGACCACTAAGGGTCAGCCCAACTTTGCAGCTAAGGAAACAACTGGAAATGGCCACTGGTTATTCACCTTATGTAAAATGTACAAGGACATAAGATTACATGGGTGAAATCAGTATCTTGTCTGGTAAAATGAAGAGGGAGAAAGCATAAGAAATTGATGCATCTAGGTCTGTCATGGCAAGTGATGGATGACTTTTGAATATAATGGAGAATGCTGAGTATCTAATTAGTTCCCATATTATAGGTTTTAGAGTATCCCTCATTTACCTCTCTTGACAATCCTTTTTAACATTAGATGGTCAATGTAAAAGATTTCTCCTACTGAAATTGAATTTAAAATAAAAACTGATTGGTATCCACAGTTGTGATCTAGTTATAAAATCGTCTGTATGGTGTTGGTCCCAGAGTCCTGTGCCATCCTTGGAAGAAGCCTTTGCACCTGTGATTCACTTGTCCCTTAGTTTCCAGGTGGCAGAATGGCAGAATGCCAGCCCTGGCCAAGCATTCATAGTGCAGTCTTTGGACTCTTATAACATGAAAGTCAGTATGAAAATGTGCAACATGACATTATTATCCTAGTTTCCTGGCTGCTTTCAGCAAGCACTAACTGCCACATGAGGTCTCAAGTGTTCTGGCATAGTATGCAAGTGTTCAAAAGAAGTTAAAGTAATGAAATTGGATCTACATTTCCATAGACATTCAAGCTGGCATGGAGAAATGGAGTCATGGAATCAGGGTTGGATGGTCTCCACCAAACAACCTAGGCAAGTTTCTGTGATGCCAGGCTACTAAGCTGAATTCCATCGTGAAAGGCCACCACTATTTCTTTCTCTGGGTCTAAAATTACAAAATATGCACATTTCTCTAGGTTCACACCATGCACAGGGTGCTTTAGCTGTAATCTCCTCCCACCCATTCCCTGGTATACAAGAATTGCTTGAAGATTCAAATCGAAGTATGTACAAAAAAAAAAAAAAAAAAAAAAAAAAAAAAAGGAAATGTTAAAACTGGCTACCAGATATGTGACTGTAGACATAGCTGAGCATTGTTTGGAAGATTAACATGTATCTGATCTAGGAGTGTCCGGTTAACACATCTCAGTATGAGTCATTTTTATAAATCAGTTGTTACTGTTGCCAGGTATTCTTGTTTGTGCTCAGTATTTTCTGTCATTGAAGTATTTGTTTGGTAAAGTCTAGGAATGTAGTCTAGTGGTAGGGTTCTTTACAAAGCCCTTGGTTCAATAGAAAATATAAAAGAAACAAACAAACAGAAAATCCAAGAAAATATGCAGAGAGCCAACAAAGGTATACAGGTGGTGGGAACAAGAAACTGGGTTTGAGGCTGGGCTGTGGTTCAGTTATTCGAGTGCTTGCCTAGCTTCCACAAAGCTCTGGGTTTGATCTCTGGCACCATATAAAACTGAGTGTGTTGTGACAGAACATGCCTGTAGTCCTAGCACTCAGGAGGGTAGAAGAGGATCAAGAACCTGGACTACATAAGATCATGCCTCAAAGAGAGGGGAATTGGTGAAGAGGGGAGAGACTGGGTTTGCCAGGTGGGGTTTGCGATTCTTCCTCTCCTATGTGTATACCATATAGCTCTGCCTCCTTCTTCCTGTTCACCAGCAAAGGGCAATAAAATTCAAATGTCCTGAACTGCAGCCATCTGGTACATTCCCCCTTTCATCTTTCCTAAGATTTTCATGGGTTCCAAATCTCCATTTGCATAAATATAGAAATGAAGTTTACTTAACATTAAAAATGCAAGAGAGGGACAGTCCAAAGAATCAAACAAGAACCAATGTATACCGTTTACTCATTCAGAATTTTTTTTTATTGCATTTTAGGATGGTGAAAAAAAAGGGTTTATAAATAAAATCTATGCCATCCAAGAAGTATGCATCAGTGTCCAGAACATCCTAGATGAAGTGGCTTCCTTTGGCGAAAGGATAAAGAAGTGAGTGATGCTGACATGTGACCCCTAACCTTATCCAAGAGTCTATTTGACTCAGAATGAGATGCAGACAGAACATGTTTTGTCTGGCACAAGTCACTCTTGGATGATCTATTGTTGTTTCCTCACAATTTATTTTGTTTTTGTGAGTTCTTGGTTTTATGGTGACTCTGTCAATTTCCTGCCTGAAGTTTACAACATATTGGTTGGAAAGAAGTCATAATTGTAGCTTAGAAGAAATAACACTGTCCTACATTTTAGCATATTTTTTATACTGACTTTTTTCTTAAAAAGAATATGAAGTCATAGTAGAAAGATAATCTAACCTAATACATTTTAGGTAACCAAGATACCTGTATTTTGCCTAGCTGGAATTTGTATTCTTAATCTTACATGGTGTTATTTTAAATAATTTTATTTGCTAGTACATTTTGTTATCTTTTTTTTGGGACAGTGTCTCATGTATCCCAGGTTGGCCTTGAACTTAGTATGTAGCCAAGGATGACTCCTGATCCTCTTGCCTCTACCTCAAGAAAGTGAGTTTGAGTTTGTCCTGGGCTACATACTGAGAACCTGTCTCAACAATATCTATTCTTTAAAAAGCCTGGTTCCAAGGGTTACTGAAAAACATGGTAACCAGGTGGATTCAAGTTTGGGTCTCCTATTAGAATCAATAACTTCAGGGTATAGTTATCTATAGAGATAGCAAAGAAGTGTGGGACCAGTCATGTGTCACCACACTTGGTTACTAAAATCCTTTCTGAATTAAGTGTATTGACAGTAACTAGCCAGCTATTTATGACTGACCTATTGCAATTATCAATAACTATTTAAGATAAAAGGCTACTCTATATCTGTACACACCTGTACTTTCTGGTTTCATATCTACTCTTGGTTTATTATTCATGACCAATCGTTGTAATTTAAGAAAAGCACAAGTGAAAGATGCCATGAGACAGGGTTCAAGCAGAGTTTTTTTTTTTTTTTAATTAGGGAAAGGGATCATAAAAAGGGGGAAGTGGAGGGGGGAGACTGGCCTCCTGAGAGGCTGGCTGCTGAGGAGCAGCAGGAGAGAGGGAAGAGGGGAAGAGAGAGAGAGAGAGAGAGAGAGAGAGAGAGAGAGAGAGAGAGAGAGCACAGAACAAAGAGAGGACACATACAGAACAGAACTTTAAAGAATAAAATTGTTTAAACTAAAAAGTATGAGTCATCATACACAGCTGTTTGTGCTGCCTTTTATTTTGTATATTTTTAAACTGAACACATTCCCATGTACACATCGGTGCTGGTTTTCAACTTTCATGTGTAGTGCACAAACCCACCTCCTTTTCACTCCTAAATGCAACTATGTCACAATTCTTAAGACTAGGTCAGGTCCCAGTCTCCCTTTTTGCCTGTTCTTTTAATAACCCTCCCTTGCACCCTGCCTAGCCTAGAGCACAGCATGCAACCCTGAATGTAGGGCCGATCTGAACATGACGTCACACCCCTGCGAATGCCTCATCCACACCAGAACCTACCAGCTTCTAGTTCTCTTCACTAGCTTGTTAGGCAATCGGTCAGTGTCCACTACTGTCTTCCCACCTTCTGTGATCCAGTCAGTAGTAACACTGAAGACCTACCAGCTCTGTTCCGCCCCCATCTACTTCCCCTATTCAGACTCCTTCATAGCTTTCACCAGATTCACCACAGAGCGTGCTCAAAACGTGAAGCACAGGCACCGCTGACTTTATTCCTAATCGCCCAGACTTTTCTAAGCAAGGACTATGGTAGCAAGTGACATTCACAAAGATAACTGTCCTGTCCTCCTCCCCTGGCTGAGCGGAGTCGTCCTAGAAGAAATTCTAAAAATCAAGGCTCACCCAGTGCTCCAAGAGGTGTCCTTACAGTTACTGCAAACATCTATTCCCAGTGTGGGTTTATAGAGTTTTTAGGAGAATTAATGTGGACCCTGAGATATCCTGTTGTATATAATCTAAAAATAAACAAGGACTGGTACTAGTTTTAGTGGCAGAAAAAACATTTTTTTTTTCTTCTGTGCAAGGAAGTACCCAAGCTGTGCAATGGCTTTAGACTATGAAATCCCTGGGAAAACCTGGTAGGGCTGGTAACAAGATCCTTTTCCTATGTCCTTTGATAAATCCCACTTATTTTAACCATTGTTTAGAAAAAATGTTAAGTGATCACATTACTGATTCGTTACTCTTCCATTCAGTACTTTCAACTGGACTGTCCCATTCTTAAGCTGGCTGGCCATTGTAGCCCTCTGTGTGTTCACAGTTATTCTGTACTTCATCCCACTGAGATACATTGTTCTTGTCTGGGGTAAGTAGAGCTTTTAAAAGACCAACACAACCCCTCTCTTGTTTTAGCAGCTAAGAACAAACTATTTTTAAGAGGTGAGTTATAACATCAGTAGTTCTCTGTATTTATGGTCATGCTCCATGATGAGAAGAGTCAGGTCAGTTAAAAATCACAACCACATAAAGATTTAGGTCTCAGTGTAAAATGCATTTTTCATATCTGGCACCGTAGCCTCCATCATACTATAAACATGTACTGGTACAGATTCCTCATATATCAAAGTGTAACTTTGTCCAGATATCACTGATTTATTTTCGCCACTTAAATGCCAACAGAGGCCTGCTTTAAGCTGTGTGGTACATTTAGGACAATATACCTTTTGCTGTGTTATTTTATCTTGTGAAAATGTCTGTAAACATGGTACTAGCTGCCTGTTTAAAAGGTTACTTTTTGGACTTTGGAAAAACCTTACTAGCACTTACAGGCTCCTTAGAAAACTGAGTACAAATGTTTTGAGAAAAATCTATTTTAAAGGCAATTTCCCCTTGATATTTATGCAGTTTTGCTACATGCTTCCAACAGTCCCTTTGACCCTAGTGTCCATTCTGGAAGTGGTCAATTTCAGCATTATGAAGAACTAAAACTGACTTTTTTTTCTTTTTCTTCTTTGCGAAATTTTTGGTTTAGAAAACCCAATATTCAATCCTTATAATTCACCATCATATAGAGATGTTTTCTATTTGCCCTTCACCAATATACCAATATAGAAATATTTTCTATTTGCCCCTCACCAATGTATACATATATCAAAGATTGCTAAAGTTAAAAGAATTGAAAGATGAAAAATGGACCTTGACTTAAGAAAACATGCTTACACTGTAATAACAGGATTATTACAGAGATGATTTTGCCTCCTAAATAGTTAGAAGAAAGTGAATTAAGAACAACAGTCAATCTAAAGTTTAAAGATTCCTGTTTTGGGGGCTGGAGAGACACCTGGGCAGTTAAGAGCACTTACCAGTCTTGTAGAAGACCTGGTTTTGGTTCCCAGCACCCACACAGTGGGTGGTTTACAACCACCTATGACTCCAGCCCCAGGGGAACCAATGCTCTATTTTGCCCTCTAGAGGCTTGAGGTGTGTGTGAGTATGTGTGCATGCACGCGCGTGCGCGCACACACACACATACACATTTTTAAATAAAAGATTCCCGTTTTCTTTTTCTTTTTGGTCCAACTTTACATTTTCCCTCTTAGTCTTTATAGTCACTAGTATTACCTCTAGGCCCTGGATGGAGGTGTCGAGGAAATAGTGATTATATTTTCCTTTTCCAGTTCCTAGCATTTACAGAGATTCGATTAAGTCACCACTTTTCCCATTTGAAGGATGGTACTTTTTAATTTTAGTTTATCATATTCTCATCTATTAATCACTGATGTCCCATTCATTTCTGACATTCAGTGCTGATACTGTCTCACTGAAGAGATTAGGGCTGAGAATAACTGCACTTTTCTAGGGTCAGGCTTGCAGAACCAGCTCTAGTGCTGTGGTGAAGAACTCCCCCTCCCCCCACCCTGACCTTCCTCACTCAGCTTCTCTGAAACTAGACCCTAAGGCAGACATCTGGCTATGGTGTTTTTAGGGACACCTGTATGGCCCCAAGGTCTCGCTGTCATAAAATAATGTTACAGGATGTGTTTGAGCATTGTTTCATCAGATGAAAAAGTTTAAAAACTATTACTTTAGTGCTAGGTGATTGCTGAAATATTAAGAAATCCAAGACACAGGTCTCACAATAGAAAAAGACCAAGACCAAGGTGACAGAAGTTCATTCTGTAGCAACGCCATTAAAAGCTAAGATCTAAGTCTACTCCTCAGTTTGTACCAGTGTGTTGATTTAATGCAAAACGATTTAATGAATCCCCCAAATTTATGGCAATATTTTTCATTTCAACTTAAACTAACAATAAACAACCATTAAAGTCATGAGACTTCTAAATATCTAGCTTGCTTTATAACAGCAGCACCTCCTACCCCTAAAATATGGATCCTTGGAAAAGAGGAAAATAAATTACCTAACAATCTGAACCTAGAAATGTAGGCAGACAAGTCTCATCATGGTTAAAACAAATTATCCAGGGACTGTAACACTGAGAATCTGTCCAGGCAAGAAGCTGTTGATCCCTTCTAAGGCATCCCCCTTTGTTTTCCGAAAACCCTCACCTACTGGGAAGCTATTAAGTTGTAAAGAGAAAAAGCAAGCAGCAATTCAGCAGGGGAGGTAAAGGAGGAGGTGTCTAGGCCAACCAGGCAAGGTTAAGGGTTAGCTCACAGTTGATGTTCAGATTGCCATAATACTTTCTCCAGAAATGTGCTTTGCCTAACTCTACACTCAGTAATGAATTCAATAATGTTTGAAATGTCACTTTTTTAGGAATTAATAAATTTACAAAAAAGCTTCGGAGTCCATATGCAATTGATAACAATGAACTACTTGACTTCCTTTCCAGAGTTCCTTCAGATGTACAAGTGGTATGTATGTTTCATTATTATTGTGCCTACTTGGCTGTAGTATGTCACTGGGTTTTAATTTTTTAAACTCTTTAATGTTAAAGGCCATGGTAAAGTTAATAAAGCCCATTGCAGATTTTGGCAGGACTTTAGCCAACTAGACAGTAATCTAGAAAACCCTATTTCAGGGAGAATGTATCCCAAGCTCAGTCTGTGAAAAGACATCGTCAAGATGTGAGCAGAGAAAAATTATTTTAGATGAAAACAATGGAAGTAAAATGGGTGCTTAGAAACTATGTGAGCAAAATTGCATAAATTCAATACATTTTAAAGATGCATGTTATTGTGTATTTTAGATTAGGGTAAAAAAAGCCTACATATGGAATACTGTAGCATATCTCACACATCCTTTGAATTACTTTGGGCTGACCATGTACTAATGGACTCATTTCAAAGTGGAATGAGAAAGGTTTGTCATCACAATGTTGAGGGCAGGTTTTAGTAATCACAATTTAGTTTTTCATTTCATGTATACGACAATGGGTTTGATGACAATTAAAACTGTATTTAACAAACAACAAACTGCAACAAGCCATTGTCCAGCTCTTCAAAATTAGAGAGATTTTCTTCCACTGTATTGTGTTAGGAACAGTCACAGTCCATTAGTAAAGTTCACATGGGGCTTCAGGCAGTTTCTGGCAGGGTTTCCCTCGTGACTCTGGCTCTAGCCCCCTGCTGCTCTTTGCACCAGCTGGGGTTCTCACTTGATTTCCAGAGCAGCACCCCCAGCCCCCCAAGCAGTCTTTCATTCCTTAGCTTTTCCTTCTTTTGCCAGGAAGTGGCCACCTGACCAGTCTTTTTTTGAACTGTTTAAACAGGTGCAGTACCAAGAACTGAAAGCAGACCATTCTCATAGCCCATATAAAAGGAAGAAAAACAACCTTGGCTAGCCAGCTCCCCCAGCACTGAGGAGACCAGCATGTTTGGGAAGATAAAAGAAAAACCCTTCAGCCTCGGCAGCATTTCCTTTCTTACTGCTTTTTATTTATTTCCCCTTTTTATCATGAGAAAAATTGTAAATAGTGTACAGAAGGCATATGTCTTTGAAAATGTACTTCCATTGTATAGACCCAACTTGATAAAGGATTTCAGCCAGTGGAGTGTGGAAGTCTTGTTAGCTATAGATAATATAACCAACTGAAAGAATAAAAATAATGGTTATAAAACAGGATGAAACGCATCTCTCTAATTATAAGTGAAAGAACCAGAGTATCAGATTAAATGCTCAACTGTACTCTGATTAGAACTACATAAAATACAATCGCCTATTTGATCTTAGGTTTGTTGTAATGTGACTATGTCTTAACTGAAAAGTAAATCACTGGGTTTGTTTGTTTGTTTTGTTTTGTTTTTTAATGTTTATACAGTTCAGAAGCTTGAATAATGGAAATGTTATATTTTAATTTAACATACATTCTGACTTTCATGCCTGTGTAAGTTCCTTCTGTATGTCTAAGGCTGATTTTAAGCTCAGGAGTACAGGCACATTCATATACTTTGCTGTCTCCTCACACACATCCCTTAAGAGAACCGAAAAGTTTATGAATAAAACTTGTAAGCCTTCTATCATTCCATCTAAATCCTTAAAATCTCTCCAAAACTATATTAAATAAATACTGCCAGGTTTATAAATGATTATCAGAATTTTTATATATATTTATCACTATTTAATTCATACTGTTAGCAAATTAGCAGGCCAAAACAGTAGCAAAGTAAATCCATACTGCATTTGGTGTTAAATTATGCCCTTGTGCATCTTAACAAAAACGTTAAGTCTCTTCACAGGGGAAAACAACAACAACAACAACAACAAAATGGTATCTGCTTTCTCATTAGAGTAGTAAAATGCTTTAATACAATCCATACTATGAATCTTACTATTGAGTTTTAAAGTGGAGAACGCAGTGGACTAAGTGAAAGGCCAGTGTTTCATTATACCATTCAGGAATCCCGAAAGATCACTGTTTTGTAAAATAAACTTTTAAAGTGGTTACCATTAAAGATGTTTCACTAACCACACTTTATTTTAACAGTGCATTCCTAAAGCGAACTCCAGGGTCTATCAAGGGAACATACCTCTGCAGAGATAACCTGGTCAGTGACAGTGTCTTCACTGACTTGTTAAGGAATCAAACTCAGTGGAAACTGCTGCAGACAATGTTTTGCACTACTTTATTAATTTCTATCAATACATAATGGGTGGGATGAAGTGGGGGGGTTGTGTTGGAGAATGTAGACAAACAGAAATATATATTTCACTCTAAAGAATTCTTTAAATTGCATCAAAGCTGATTTTTAAAGTATTTTTATTTTAGAAATATGTTGTTAAATACTATTTCTTACAATAGAACTATTTTGATGTTTATACACTATGCTTGGAAGAATGTTGACTACATTCCCTTTCTACAGGAAGGCCTTGACATCACCTCAACATGCTCTATATAGTCTATCATGTTTAAAATGACACCCTTACATCTGCATTCCATCACTGTTTGTGGCAAAACATACTTTATGAAGCTGACCTACTGCAAACTTTATTATGAGATCATTTGTTTGGTGTAAGTTCTGATTATACCCGGGTGAGATTTATGTTCTGTGCTCACAATCTCTACTCAAATGTCTATATGCCTGACATTCTATAACCTCAAATGTACCTAGTGGATGTAACCATTAACAGATGACAAAGTTTTGTTTCATTGTGTAAGATTTCAGATGTTTACTTCAATAGTAATGTTGACTACATACTCACTGCATTAAATACAAAAGAAAAGAATCATTTCTATGTAAAAATTACTATTTTTCCCCCCCTGAGTTGAGCTGCATGGTGGAATGCTGGGTGTATGTATATTAATTAGTGATACTTCACTTGATCTGAGCAGGGCTATTCCTGAAACCCTGACTAAAGGTATAAACTCAGTACCTTTGGCATGGTAAGAATCCAATGAAGCAGACAAAACTAGCTGTAGTCATAAAGTCATCTTCAAGCTAGACCTCAATGCTTTCAGAAAGCAATGTATTTATTTATATGCCCAAACAGATTATGCCAAGTACAAGTATTATTGTAACTTTCCTACATAGATACATTTTAAATTAAAGAAGTATGCCTTGGTTTTCAGTTTTTTGTTTACCAGAACCTAGGGCTGAGCCCAGAACCTTGCCCTTACTATGCAAGTACTCTACCACTGAGCTAAATTCCCAAGCACAAACTAGATTTTTATTTATTTATTTATTTATTTTTTTTTGGAGACAAGAATTCACTGTGTAGCCCTGGCTGTCATGGAACTCCCTCTGTGGGCCAGGTTGGCCTGGAACTGAGATCCACTTGGTTTTCAGAGATATTTGAAGCAAATATTCTAAGTTACAGGAAGAGACTGCATATGGCTCAACTTCTATTTGCATCACTGAATTTAACAGACATTGTAAACTCAACAGTCTAATATATTCACATCTCAAATTACAGCCATTGTAGAACTGTTCCCTGGGCAAGACAACTGCCATGTTCCTCAGATCCACTGTGCTTGCTTATAAAAGACTATCACAATCATGCTTGCAATTGACCCCTCAAAGAGTCGCAATTGACCCCTCAAAGAGTCGGTATAGAGGGGCAGTAGGCCTGAGATTCCAGCAATTTGGAAGCAATTCTGTCCAAAGTACATGTGGTCTTTCTGAGTTGCTAGAGTATATATAGCCCAGGGCAGGTTACAAGAAAAGGAGTACACATCTATGACATACTGGTCAAGAGTTCCGACTGCAGTTGCTTTGGGGTCATCCATGTTCCTTCAGGTGACTCCTCACCAGTGCATCTTCTGAAAATTAGCCTGATAAACTCATTGGTTCATCAGGTTGAACTTTGGTGGGATGTTATCTATGGTTTGTCATTGAGATCATGTGACAAGGGGATAGATGATGTTTAATTCTGCCACCATTAACTGGGATAAGTCTGACATCTAGCCATCCTGTAACCCTTTAACACATTTTTAACATGCTATTACGTAGTAGTTTATATTATTATATTATATTATATGCCACTGCTTCAGACTCAAGGTGAGAGTTTTTGAGGGGGGGGGCTGTTGTCCTAAATTAATTTTGAGCCATTTTACACACTAGGATAATATAAGTTAGGATTTTTTTTTTTTTTACATAACTTCTGATGCATCTATTGTATGTCTACTGCATAACCCTGAGAAGGGCAATTACTGTGTATGTTTGTATCTAAAGTATAATCAAACCAATCTGAACTTTGTAAATAGACAAATTTAAATGATATGTTTATGAAAATAACTTTTTAGAAGTTTCTTTAAGTTTTATTAAGACTCTGGCCTCTTAACTTGCAATCACCTCCCAAGTACTAGGATGAAAAGTTAGTGCTGAAATTAAGCAGTTAAATTTTATCCAGGGGTCACAGGAACTTTCCACTTTGACATCAAAATCCAAAGACGCCCAATATTGAGTCCAAAATATAGAAAACCTTATTCAAATTCTATCATTTCATTTATAAACTCAAATAAGCCTGACTGCTTACAACACTTCTGAAGAATGTGCTTGTAAGGAACTTGTGCTCACCCTAAACAAAAACTTACAAGACAGCCAATATTACACCTGTGACAAAGAGACTCAGCTCTTATTAAATTGAAGCATGTTTAAGTTTTGGGGGATGAAATGGTTGCATGTGTGCACAAATGTTTAGTCACTGGTCTATTAGATTATGTGGAGTCAGCCTTTTCTAACTGTTCAGTTGAATTAAAACAACCTAAATATAATAAAAAATGTTTCTTTACAATTCTCCTTACAAGGATGATTGATATAATTCACTGAAACAAAAACAAACAAACAAAAAACCAGCAGAAAATATCTCCTTCTTTTGTTTTGAGAATACTTTTAGAAATTTTCCATATTCATCCAATGGCCCCTTGTGTAATGGTAGTTGTTACATGAGACATTACTCCAGCAGACTCTGAGACTTAATCACACCAAGAAAATCTCTATGTTGAAACATTATGAAAGAATGTATTAATGACCAAAGTATTTATATCAAGTAGACAGATTTGCTACAATCCATTTGGGCCATGCCCCACAAAGGTTCTGATTAAAAAAGTAAAGGGAAAAGAAAAAAAAAAAACACAAAATGAGACAACTGAATATGTAATTCATCTCTAATATTTCAACTCATTCAAAGCTGAAAACAAAAATGCAAAATAAAACTAAAAAAATCCCCAAAGTGTTACACTACACAAACAATATTTTTGTCAAAACAATTTTTAAAAAGATAGTTCCATGTCTTTGAATGCAGTGGAAAAAAAAAAAAAAAAAGGAGTATTTAAAACAAGTATAAAAAGTGCACTATGCATATAATACCCACAAAGGCCAAAAGGGGGCACTGGATTCCCTGGAACTGGAGTTTCAGATTATGAGCTGCTGAGAACCAACTTAGATCCTCTCCAAGAACATGAAGTGCTTTAACTGCTGAGTCTCCAGTCCCAGAACTAATTTTTAAAAAGGCAACAAAATGGTACTGCAAATTCTGCTCTTATCAATGGGGTTATTGTTCTGGGCAGAAAGCTTTAGTTGAATAGCTATGTCAATGTATTATCATTATGTATCAAAATAACTAGAACAAAGGTCTTCCCTGCTCTATATTTCTCAATGTTCCCTCAAATAAAAAAGGACCAAATTGATGCAGTGAAAAACCACCTTATTTCTCAGGAAGACTGCTTTGGGGGAAGCCCTGAGCTCTGTCTGAAGGGGGCTGTGACTACTACTAATGAAGAAAGATAATATTGTCTCAATTTTGGGGTCAAAGGCTAGCTTCAAATTGGCTTCAATTAAGTTAAAGGATTTTATGTTGCCTGGGTTCAAAATGTGACAAATTTGGAAGAAATGCTAAATTTGTACAGAAAAGAGCACTTGTGGTTCCAACCATTTTAAATTGTGTTCTGCATTATAGGAAGCACCTGAGACAACAGTCAAGTATTAGCTTTCACAAAGACAGCTGGATCATAGAAGTGAGTTAAGGGGAAGAAAATGCCAATATTTTTCTTAAGATCCCTTTTTACAGCTACCAGAGAAATGGATTCCATAACTAAATTGCCTCCAAAATATCCTTCTTTACACAGTAGTGATTCCAACAAGTAAAAATCAAAAATGTATCTGTGGCCTGTCTTAGATAAATTTGGCAAGATACAACTTTTTATTTCCTGTTACACAAAGGGACATGCTTGTGATTTTGTCATTACTCTTGTGTCATAGGTGAGTTGGTAGTCCCAATTTCTAACCAAATTTACAGACCCTATGCTTATTACACTTGTCCTAGAATTGAGAAACAAACAGAACCTACCAGGGAAGGTCAAATGACCAAATCCATTCGAAGAAGCAACTCTAAATCCCCCTTCCCCAAATTTCATTTCCATTTAATTTGTTTGATGTTCCTTGGCATTTAAAATTTCCCTATTGATGTTCAAAGTGGGGGGGGGGAGAGAGGGTGGTTATTTAGAGGTTGAGACTACTGTTTTATGGTAGACTGTGTGCCACACAAGTGTCAGCCTTGAGGTTCAATACTTGTACTGAAAAAAAAAATTAAAATAGGAAAAAAACAATCATCAGTACTACTTTGTTTTATGTTTTGGTGGGGGGATAGGAGTAAGTACCAACCATTTTGCATTTATTCACACAACCAAGGGTCAGGCACACCAATTCATAATCAGGTATG